ATACGACAACGCGACAATGTCCCTTCCAAAATTCCATAGTGATCCGTGCAAATAAAACTGAGTTATGAAATAGAAGTCTAACATGCCAATTAATAGATAAAGTGTAAAAATGCGCTGATGAGTTCATCTGCATACCGAGTCTATACGCTGTGATTAACAATAATGCTCTGAGTCAATACATTTTGTCAAATGTATGACATATATTACCTATGGAATACTGTAAGAGACATTCTCGCGATCTCGCATTCTCGCGATCTCGACCATTGGAAACGAACTAAAAATGCCAAAAATACGAGAATGCGAAATCGCGAGTACGCGAGATTTTTTGATACATAGCACTTTTTGTCAAAAGTCGACAACGCGAGAATGCGACATTTGGACATGATGCAAAATCGCACAATCTCACAATCTCGACTTGTCAAATTAGGCCACAAAAACACAAAATCGCGAGAACGCAAGAATGGGACATTTCATTTTCTCGCGATCTCGCGTTCTCGTGTTCTCGTTTTTTAGACGCTGTCCGTGCGCATGCGTAATATCACAAGGTCAAAGCGCATGCGCACGTTAGGAGTCCGGTGGTCATGCTTCTTTCATGCTCTTCATTCTCCAAGCAGCCTTTAGCAAACTTATGACTTGAGCTTGAAAATGCTATCATGTAATTTACAAACACAAAGTCCCATGTATCGTAGAGTCCTTTCCCTTTGGTTCAGTTTCCAATGTACTTTAAATTAAAACCCTCAACGTGCTCATTATAATTTAACAAAAGAAATTGTGTACATGAATGTCCAGTGATAGTGAAAACATTAAAGTGTGAGGAAGCTGGAAACAATATATATCACTGTCAGTGAGAGAGTAAATATTGCTTAAAGCCACATCAGCAGTATTGCAGCTATTCGCGTCTGCACTGTCAATTACAGGAATAATCACAGGCCAGTGAGGCAATATTATACACGGCTAGCATATTCATCTAAACAAAATTCTCAAAGACCAATTTGTAGCATTCTGCTAAAATGAGATTGTCCGATGTTTTTACACGACACCATAGTCGCTATTTTAAGGCAATACAAAATTAATTAATAGATTATCATCGTCTCCCACCTTACTACAAAACATCCCGCCTTACATTATTCTATTGCCACAAAGTTCCTAGAAATAAAAAATATCGCTAATATGTGTGTTCCTACTCCGTACACGTAGCCCTACTGAATACGCATGATGCATCTGAATCGCATTCTTCGACAGCAATTGTACACAGATGCCTTAAATAGTTCGACAAGAAAACAATAACATCTTTATACTAAGTAAGTACCCCCAATATCCAGCCTGAGGGACCGGCATGGCTCTGAATAAGTGAGTGAGTTTGGCTCAACACTGCTTTGAACAGTATTTATATTTCAGTTATTCCCTGGCTTGTCAGCTTTAAATGGGACGAAACCCACCATCATAGGTTCTGGCACGCCCAAGGGACGCAACTTTACGTACACAGCGAATTGCGACGCCTCAGAGGACTGAGCCACTAGGTCACTGTCCAGGTAATTGGCAGAAAAACCGTTAAGCAATATTAACGTGCACGGAGTAGGAACACACATATTAGCGATATTTCTATTTCTAGGAACTTTGAGGCAATAGAATAATGTAAGGCGGGATGTTTTGTAGTCAGGTGGGAAAGGATGATAATATATTAATTAATTTTGTATGGCCTAAAGTAGCGACTATGGTGTCGTGTAAAAACATCGGACAATCTCATTTTAGCAGAATGCTACAAATTGGTCTTGGAGAAGTTTGTTTTAATGAATAATAATGTGATTATTTCTGTAACTGATACAGCAATACTGCTGATGTGGCTTTAAGCAATATTTACTCTCTCACTGACAGTGATATATATTGTTTCCAGCTTCCTCACACTTTAATGTTTTCACTATCCATGAACATTCATGTACACAATTTCTTTTGTTAAATTATGTTTAGCATGTTGAGAGTTTTAAATTAAAGTACATAGAAAACAGCACCAAAGGGAGAGGAGTCTACTCTATTCTACATGGGTCTTTGTGTATGTAAATTACATGATAGCATTTTCAAGCTCAAGTCATACATTTTCTAAATGCTACTTGGAGAATGAAGAGCATGATAGAAGCATGACCACTGTGCAGGACTACTAATGTGCGCATGCGCCTTGACCTTATGATATCACGCATGCGCACGGACAGCGTCTAAAAAACTAGAACACGAGAACGCGAGAAAATAAATTGTTCATCATGTCGCATTCTCGCGTTGTCGATTTTTGACAAAAAGTGTTATGTATCAAAAACACGCATTCTCGTGTTTTGGGCATATTTAGCTCGTTTCCAAAGGTCGAGATCGCGAGAATGCGAGATCGCGAGAATGTCCCTGTCAGTATTACATAACTACCTGTAGGAACATATTGTTTATACTCGTCCATGTTTAATATATATAATTTACATGCTCGGTAATAGTGAGGACGGGCATCATTGTGTGTTTCTGTGCTTTGTTCAGGTGAACAATTGACTTGTCCTTGCATGTGTTTGTGATGGATGCCACCCGTCTGGCAGAATACGCTCACCTTTTCGCGCACACCCGTTGGATGGCCTGAACCACTTCGGATTTTTATCCCACATCAGTCTGATACACCGTGATATAACTGAAATACTTTTCAAAGCTAAGTGGTGTTTAATGCGATCACCGTAGTGTGTTACTGCAACTTTCCAAATTTTGTGTAGTGATGTTATGTAATATGTAAAATAAAGCATATTCAGTTATCCAATTGATTAGAATATACTTGCGTCAGTGTATTTTATGAACTCCCAAAACCGTATTTGTTAAACACATATAATAACAGATCATATACGCACATGGTGCCTTGATCTACTATTAGCTTTAATAGGCCATTCCGGAATAAAATAGTTCCCCCAAAAGCGAGGAACATCTGTTTTAGTTTGTTTACAAAAAATATATTCCAAAAAATATCCTCATTAGATGAGAAGGTCTGTTAAGAACTACCTCAGTAAGTCAATCACAATGACAGAGCGTCGTAATACATTATATTCACATCAAGTACAAGACGTCAAAATGGCCGACACGATAACCATGACGGGAGATATTTCCGAAGTTGTTAATTAGCCTGTGGCGATTTCAAGCCTTTGTGATCACTGATCAATTGGCCAATCATTGAAAGGTGATTGTAAAGATGTGTCAAATAGATACTAAGGTAATTTCATAGATTGCTGTAGATTGTCACTACGATAGTTTGGATTTTTGGGTTTTATTTCTCTAGGATGGGTTGTAGCGAGGGTATCCTTGAAAGGGCATGCAACCAAACTCTATGAATAATCTCAGAGTATGCTAAGACGCTACGTTCAAAATTAAAGGGTCTAAATGATGAGAAACAACGCTTCTGTATGAATTCGTACTAGGGAATTCCCAGGGCTTTCCCCAGGAATTGGGAAGTAGTCAGTGCTTACGTAATTTCAAGAATACAGTCACGTGAAAAACGTCATGTGACCCACCTCTCGTCCTATGGAAAAGCCGTATATCGTGTAAACTTCACATTACAAAATTAGTTACTGTTATAACCAAATAAAACACAACCCATTATCCGATAGAGGTAACTGGGCATAGCGGAGGGATATGTTATCTCAATAAACTTGGTACATGGTTTGGTTTGTCTTCTTGGCGCGTGTCTGAATTCCATTAACATGTTACATATCCTAAAACTGACTAATCAGCAAATCTCGCTGCGCGCGACAGGTACTACAGCAAGGCATGCCAGAAATACGAAACCTAATGCTTCCGAAAGGAAGTCTTCTGCATCACGTGCGTCGGGGGACCAGCAACAACAGCGTCAATAACCCCTCGCAGAGTCATCGTGGAATAGGTACTGGCTCCTGGGGAGAGAGACATCAGTGAGTGAGCGAGACATTTTTGCCAAGGATATTATTGTCACAACCAGTATCTTAATAACACTGGTATCATTTCCTATACGAATATTATTTTCTCCGGAAACTTTCTGACCCTGGAAACATTAATCGTTTACATAATAACCAGAAGTGCGTGCGTGCGTGCATGAGTGAGTGAGTGTTTTAAGCAACATAAATCATATCACAATAACATACAGCTTTGATAACCAATAAGGTTGAGGTCAAGAGGGGTCTGACGTCGCGTTCAAGAGTATGGCACTTATATAGCGAAGTATGGTGGTTAGTAATATCCGGGACAGATGACAAATTAAAAGGCGGCTAGCCCACTAAGATAGCACACAGCAGATACCCTACTCAGGAACAGTAAACTGACTCCGACACGACCAGTCCTTGTTGTATCACTTTATGACGAGCGCCAGCCAGGGCAACATCAAGGCATTCGTTCGGTTAAACAAATTTCCGGATAAACGAAGTAGTGATTGTATATGTTGACATAGGCCCCGGATTATAGAAGCTATGGATAGGATCCTCTGGATCTTTGTACACGTAAAAAAATATCTCTGGAGGTACTCCTTAATGTGAGGTTTCCAGATTAAAGGGGTCCGGAATAAAGGATTAAAAGGACCAGGGATGTTATTGACAATGTTAAAATTTTCTTGGTATCTGTCAGAAATATCTGAAATCATTAAATGAGTAACATGTAATATCGAGTTTTATGCAATCAAGTGAGTGATTGAGTCGGGTTTAACGCTGCTTTTAAAATTATTCCAGTTATATCGCGGCGTGTCAGCTTAATGTGGGGGGAAATCCCGAAGTGATGAAAGTCTCCGACGTTTACTACTTCGGTGAAACCAACGAGCACGGGTATGGTGCTGACAAACCAAGAAACATAATCGGGATTCGAACCAAGTGGAATCATAGGTTTCTGGCGTGCCCAAGGGACGCAACTCTGCACGGCGAATACCGGCGCCTAAGACGACTTGGCCATCCATGCCTCCCTGTATGCAATCAAGCATTTATGGATTAAATTAATATTTTAAGCTACCTGGTATGACTATCTCCCACAGGAGCACCCCGAAGGCCCAGACGTCTGCCTTGTGACTGTGAAACCCCTCGATCAAGGCTTTTGGGGACATCCATCGGTCAGGGAGCGGCCCTTTAGACGTCCTCTCGTACACGTCCACACCCTCCACATCTCTCGCGAGACCGAAGTCCGAGATCTTGCACACACAGTTGTAGCCAACCAGCACAATTCTTGCAGCGACGTCACGATGCACAATCTGGAACGACGTGGTCACAGACATCAAATCACTGTCAAATTACGGTGTGAGGAGGGTTATTTTACGCCGTAGTCAGCAATAAAGAATAAAGAATAAAGAAGACGAAGAAGAACGAGGAGGAGAAGTTATTTTACGCCGCAGTCAGCAAGAAAGAAGAAGGAGGAGAAGAAGAAGAAGAAGAAGAAGAACAACAACAACAACAACAACGAGGAGGAGGAGGAGGAGGAGGAGAGGAAATCTCACGGCGGTCCAGTGATTTATATAATGAGCAACGACCTACCGGAACGATAACACGCAATCAACGACGTTAATGAGAGTGACAAGCCGATTTAGAGGCCTATTTCCAAAAGCAACAGAGAGTTTGGGGCCCACTCTAGCCCTGGAGAGGTAGTCATTAAAATAAGTCCTTGAAACAACTACCTTTTTCAACTTAGATTTTGATATTTTACTTAAGTCATATTCATAAAGAGAGTTCAGGTTTCGCCTAAGGAATTTCTACTGGGCAAGGATAGACTTAACTGCAAAATGTTAACTGCAAGAGTTAAGACAAATCCAAGAGTCTTTATGACTACGGTCCCTGGTCGCCATGGGATGATCCCGAGATATCACTGCATTCACTCTACGATCACTTGGGATTATGTATATTCATACATTATATATATTCTCTTCACATTTCAGGGATTATACATATTCCATGATTAGACATATTATTCCCTGATTACACATATTCCCTAGTTATACAAATTTCCTGATTATACATATTCCCTAGTTAGACATATTTCCTGATCATACATATTCCCTAGTTTGACATATTCCATGATTAGGCACATTCCTTGGTAAGACATTTCCCTAGTCATATATATTCCCTAGTTATACATATTCCCTGATTGTACATATTCCCTAGTTATGCATATTCCCTAGTTATACATATTTCCTAGTTATACAGAATAGGTCTTCAGCAACCAATACTTGCCGTAAAAGGCGACTATGCTTGTCGTAAAAGGCGACTAACGGGATCGGGTGGTCAGGCTCGCTGACTTGGTTGATACATGTCATTTATCCCAACTGCGTGGATCGATGCTCATGCTGTCAATCACTGGATTGACTGGTCCAGGCTCGATTATTTACAGACCGCCGTCATATAGCTGGAATATTGCTGAGTGCGGCGTTAAACAACAAACAGACAAACATATTCCCTAGTTGACCATATTTGCTGATCATACATACACCCTGATTATACATATTCCTTAGTTAGACATACTCCCTGATTATACATATTCCCTAGTTATATATATTCCCTGATTAAACACATTCCCTAGTTAAACTCATTCCCTAGTTGTACATATTCCCTGATTATACACATTCCCTGATTATACATATTCCCTAGTTATACATATTCCCTTGTTATACACATTCCCTAGTTATACATATTCCCTAGTTATATACATATTCCCTAAATTATACATATTCCCTGATTATACACATTCCCTAAATACACACATTCGCTAGTTATACACATTCCCTAAAATACATATTCCCTGATTAAACATATTCCCTAGAAATACATATTCCCTGATTATACATATTCCCTGGTTAGACATATTGCCTAGTCATACATATTCCCTGTTTGTACATATTCCCTGTTTTTACATATTCCCTAGTTACACACATTCCGAGTTATACATATGCCCTGATTATACATATTCCCTAGTTATACATATTCCCTGATTATACATATTCCCTAGTTATACATATTCCCTAGTTATACATTTTCTCTGATTAGACATATTCCCTAGTAATAGATATTTCCTGATTAGACATATTTCCTGATTAGACATATTCCCTGATTATACTTTTCCCTAGTTTTACATATTCCCTGATTATACTTTTCCCTAGTTATACATATTCCCTGATTATAATATTCCCTTGTTATAAACATTCTCTGATTATACATATTCCCTAGTTATACATATTTCCTAGTTATACATATTCCTTGATGACATTTAATCCCTTGTTATACATATTCCCTGGTTAGACACATTCCCTGGTTGGACAATTATTCTGTAAGGTAACACTATAACAAACCTACACTGTTAGCTTCCAGGTGCTGCATTCCCCGAGCTGTATGCAAAGCAAAGGACAGTAGATCCTTGGCTGTCAGCTCCCCGTCATCTTCACCTTTGAAGGCGAAGATTGATGCTCATGATGTCAGTCACTGGATTGTCTGGTCCAGACTCGATTATTTGCAGATCTCCGTCATATGGCTGAAATATTGCCGAGAGCGACGTTAAACAACAAACTAAAAACGTTCACAAAGATATTAATTTATTAACACAATCCAATGGGCGTAAAAGGCCGATTGATATGAACAGATCACTTAAATTCAACGATGACATCAGGACAGTGGTGTTGGCAAAAAAGGGTAAGCATGTCTTGATCTACCAGTAGCACCTGCTTGAACACTTAAGTCTTTGTTTGTTGCCTATTGCCGCACAACAGTCCCCCTGCCATGTCGCGGCCTTCAAACGATCGAGCCTTGACCAGACAATATAGCAACATGACGGCGCGCTTCCACTGTGACTGACTTAACGAGGTAGTTGTTACCAGACCTTTCTTAGCCATGATGATGATGATGATTTTCTTACAAAAGATGTTACTGGAGAGCTACTTGACCATACAGAAATTGGCACAAGTCATGTAGTCCTTGCCAAACTGCCCAATAGTTGAGGTATCAGGGTTTTGCCATAAGGGCCAGTGGACTAAAACTGTAAGTTTCTAGCCCTGTTTTTAGGGCCATTTGTTTTTTTTTCGTTTTTTTTCTTGAAATTTCAAGATAATAAGTTGAAATTTCAAGATACATACTAAGTTGAAATTTCAAGATACTAAGTGGGAATTTCAAGCTGCTAGGTTGAAATTTCAAGATGCTCCTTTGAAATTTCAAGATAATAGCTTGAATTTTCAAGATACATACTTAGTTGAAATTTCAATATAATCACTTAGTATCTTGAAATTTCAACTTAGTATCTCGAAATTTCAACTTAGTATCATCGGTATCATCACTTGTTTTCCCATTAACGCGTGGAACACAGGGCTATGTGATATCAGTCAACTGATTATAATTTCTATTAGTCAGGTGAACGCCTGTGTTGACATCAAATGAGAATGTTGTTTCTAGCCTGATGAATATGGCGGGTCTTCAAACAAGCTTCAGAATAACTACTATCAATTGCGCTTACAACTTCTAACTTCCACCAGTTAGAATATGTAACATGCACAGTGATTTATAATTATACTACACATTGCAGTCTACAGTGCTGGGGAGGCTTTTCATACGAACAACGCACCGCCCACGCACGTTTGATATACCTCGAGTAGAATACTGTAAAAGTGTAAGGATTGATTTTGTAACATGAAACGATTGACGTTCGCTCACATTTTGCCACTACCTGACAATGTGAACATGTTTTTTTCCAGACGATTTGCACATGTCTGCCTGTTTCTGTGTCGAAGGTACAGATATACTTGTTTGGTAAATGGCAGTGCTTTCTTCTTAAAGCGCTATCGTGTCACTGCGTTGTCTGGTCCGTAACGTGATTGTGTGGGTTGTTAACAGGCCACCGTCGCATGGCAGGGGCGCTACTGTGCGGCGTCAGGCCACTAACAAACACTTACTTCGAATTCTATATTCAAACTGTGAGTGAGTCAGTATGGTTTTACGCCACTTTTAGCAATATTCCAGCAATATCACGGCGGGGAACACCAGAAATGGGCTTCTCACATTGTACCCATGTCGGGAATCGAACCCGGGTCTTCGGCGTGACGAGCGAATGCTTTAACCACTAGGCTACCCGACCGCCCCTCAAACTGTGTGAGTGGTCAGTTTTACCGGTGGGTAGGACAAGCTGGCCCTCTTTGCTAACACCTGATGTCATCACTAATGTCATCATCTGCATGTGCAGATTATAGGCCTTTCGTCATCACAAATCTCATGCAGTCATCGACACTTTTGTGTGGTATCCGTCAAAACACACCTACATAAATGACGTATCACTTGAAACAAAAATAATGTCAGATTAATGTTTTGTTTGTTGTTTAACACCGCACTCAGCAATATTTTAGCTATATGACGGCCTGTAAATAATCGAGTTTGGACCAGACAATCTAGTGATTGACATCATCAGCATCGGTCTACACAATTGGTATGCGATGACATGCATCAACCAAGTCAGCGAGCCTGACCACCCGATGTTGTTAGTCGCCTCTTACGACAAGCATAGTCGCCTTTTACAACAAGCATAGGTTGCAAAAGACCTATTCTACCCCGGATCTCACTTGAAAATATAAACGTCAACACCAAAGTGACATTAGTATCGATGTTTATTTACTGAATCCAATGGGCGTAAAAGGCCGACTTATATGAACAGATCACTTAAAGGGCAAGTTCACACGGAAATGAACCAATTTTTCTTGTACTTTTTCCACATTAAAAGTGTTAACATAGAAGTGTCATAGACAAAAATATAAAAACATCAAATTTAATTAACATATTTTTTGCATTAAAACGATTTATATTTTTCACATTTACCAAGTGTTCTATTTCCATAACAAAAACACCATGGCTTATGCCCCTTGCAATATGACGTCATTGGTGCCAATTGATAAACATTATGACGTCATCATGCTTTGTTAGAGCCGCTTCACGTGGTGTAGGTACAGTTTTGTGATTCTAGCGTCTCAGATGCCAGCCAGGATTGTGTTATGCTGAGTCACCACTGCGCCGAGTGTGTCGTAGACCATGTTGTTTTACCGCAAACTGGTCCTTGATATCTTTTGCGTTGAGGACAGGGACCCAGTTGAATTGGCACCAATTACGTCATAATCTAAGGGGGATAACTCAGGCCTATTTCGCTCGTAAAACGAAGGCTTCATAACGGCATATCATTTTAACACTATTGTGAGCTTCCTACTTTCACTGTGAAAAAAATGAGTGTATAATTTCAAACACAGATACTAACTAATTCTAAAATTGCGTTTTGTTTAGAAAAAGAAAGAAAGTGATTTTTGCGTGTACACTTCCCCTTTAAATTCAGCGATGACAACAGGTGTACTTTTTTTTAAAAAAGTTTAAAGATAATAAGTTGAAATTTCAAGATACATACTAAGTTAAAATTTCAAGATGCTTAATTGCAATTTCAAGTTGCTACGTTGAAATCTCAAGATACTAACTTGAAATTTCAAGATAATAACTTGAATTTTCAAGATACATACTCTATTTGGAATTTCAATTTAATCACTTAGTATCTTAAAATTTCAACTTAGTATCTTGAAATTTCAACTTAGTATCTTGAAATTTCAAGATAGTATCGAAAAATAGAAAAAGAAAATGGCCCTAAAAGGCTTCCGTAGGCAAAAATAAAATCGAAATTAAATCTATTTCGGTATGATCTTTTGATGTTGTCTAGATATTCTTTTTATTTCGAGAATAGGTTTGACACGCAAACACACGCACAAACAAGCAGACGCACGCACACGCACATACATCCACTCACAGATTTCACATCAGTCTTGGCAACTAATAATTGTCCAAGTACAATGGACCGCCTCCATGGTCTAGTGGTAGAGCGTCCGAGTGGAAGGTCCGGGGTTCGAACCCCGGCCACGTCATACCAAAAGTCGTTAAAAGATGGTACTTGTTGTTACCCTGTCTGTCGCTCGTCATCAAGGGGCTAAAACAAGGACTGGTCGGCTCGGAGTCAGTATACTGTATCTGAGTGGGGTATTCATGTTAAACTGCGGCATGGTATCTTAGTGAGCTAGCACTATAAATCGGCATCAGTCCGGACTAGTACAAGCAGACGCACAAACACACACACGTACATGCACGTCGCTATATAAGTGCAATAATCTTGGACGCGACGTTAAACCCCCATTTCACCTCAACTCACCAAGTGCAATGCAATGAACTTCTACTGACTTTCAACAGAAACAATTTAATACAGTTACAATGATGTTAACAATACATTATACTGCCCTATAACATAATATAACATATAGAGTGACAGCAGTCACCTCGAGATAGACAAAGAATCGCGTCTACTAAAAGATCGTTTTCCTTGTCCTCGTCCGCCGTGTTGGTTAAATCGATCTTTCTCCTTTATGGTTCAAGTTGTCTCTGTTCAACAGCTGTAGCCTGTGTCATTGATTTTAGTGATAGCTGACGTTGTAAGTTTACACGACTGATAATTTCTTCATCCAGTTTGTTTTGCTTTCCTCATACACGAAGAACCGAACAGCTTTATCGGAGTCATATACCCTTTCAACATTGAACATTAAGAACTTTGTGTCTTAAGGGTGCGTTTTGGAATTTTTAGAATGCGTTGGTTCAGCGGATGCTACGGGAATCGTAAAGCATGCATCACCAGAACTGTGCTGTTCCTTGGCTGTGCGTGTCTTTACTTCACGTTTGGAAAGCATCACATACAGGTAAGACATACCATGGGCTCATTGTGGACCTTTTAAAAAAATTGTATTATTAAAAAAATGTATTTGTTCATAATCGTAAGATCACTTGGAGAGTGATCACTTACTGTCTATGCTTCTTTCACAAAAGAAACCTAAATAACTTATGTCTTTTGCTACTTAAGGATATTTAGGTTTTTTAACGTGAAGTTGACTCGATATTCGGCTTTTGCATTGGACGAGAGGTGGGTCACATGAAAGCGAGATTGAAGTTAATACGTATATTGACAACACAATTTGGCGTTCATACGTTTATCACGAGACCGTGGTAAATGACTTAAACACTGACACACTACTTACACATTCCTGGAGGGATGCCTAGGAATTCCCCAGCACGAATAGATATAAACACGTTGTTTCTGATCATTTCGACTCTTTAATATTGAACTCAGAGTGAGATTGTATTAACGTCGTCGCAAGTTCCGATTTCCATAGTTGGACCATCTATTTATGAAGGTTCATATTCCAATGAACTCAAACAAAGTGAAAATCAATTCTTAAATCTCTTTGACACATCAGTATACTCCCCTTTCCAAGATGGTCCAATTCATCAACGATGACTGATAAATGTTACCGCCATAGGTCCACAAACAACGTCACGTGTCGGCCATTTTAACGCCTCGCACTTCATGTACACATACGTCATAAATCACAAAGAACAATCAAGATCGAAGTGTGGTTTATTTCACGATAACACATTGTTCTGTCACGACATCATTTTTGGAGGTTTAAACATGCGCTCGAAAAATGATGACGTCGTATATTGGACGACGTTAGTTTTGAGCGGGAAATGTCTCATGAGTTGTTCCCATAGATGTAGCTGGGCTACGCACATAAACGAGAATCGGTATTTGGAGAAATGGTACAGATAATCGACGCGAGGATTGTGAAAATATGCGGAAAATACAAATCTTAACCCTCCTGTTGATTCTAATTCAGGGAGTCATCCTTTTTAAAATTACCATAAATATTTTTTTATAGCTTGTGCATTTTAATTTAACGCACACACAGTGAAAGTCAATTCTTAAGTCATATTTACTACTTTTTAGCGGCTTTCCGTGTCCAACTGTCCGTCTGTCCTCGCATTCGCCCTCGTCTCGCCT